TTGGTTATTAAAAGAATTATTTACTTACCTTAAAAATGTAATACTTATTTTAATATATATCTCAGAATTGCCTATTGTGGTAGATAGAGTAAATATCCACATCCTAATCCCCAAAACTTGTGAGTATATTACCTTATAGGTCAGAGGGAACTTTGCAAGTGTGATTAAGAAAAGGAATTAGGAGAAATTAGTCTGGTTTATTGGCATAGGCCCAATGTAAATACAAAGATCCTTTTAAAATAGGGATTAGCAGGGTCAGAGTCCAGAGAAAGTAACATGGTAATGAAAGCAGATTTCAGAATGAGGTACTTGCTGCCTGGGAAAATGGAAGAGGCCATGAGCCAAGGAACACAGGCAGATTGCAGAGCTGGAAAGGCAAGGATGTGTTTTCCAAATTCCTGAAAAAAAACCCCATAGACTTGCCAACACCCTGATTTTGCCCAGTGAGACTTCTGATGTTTAGAATTGTGAGATAATAAATGTGTGTTGTTGTCAGTGTATTTGTGATAATTTGGTACAGCAGCAACTAATCCAATATAATAAAAGGGTAATATGCAAATCAATTGTACGGCAGAATGACCGGTTGCTATGACGTGCACTGACCACAAGGGGACAGATGCTCAATGCAGGTGCTGCCTCCTGGCGGTCAGTGCATTCCCACAGGGGGAGCACCACTCTGCCAGAAGCCCTGAGCTGGGCTCATGTCTGGAGAGAACAGCACTAAGGATGTCTGACTGATGGCACAGGCCAGGCTGAGGGACCCCCCACCGAGTGCATGCATTTCATGCACTGGGCCTTTAGTAAACTAATTAAACTATTTGGAACCAATTTTTCCTGGCACATGGTGTTCCCTTTCAGTCTGTAGTAGCTCTAGCCTGCTTGACTTTTTGTTGTTTGTTTTGTCAAAACTCCAAGGTTCCAATTAAGTATATGCTGGTAATTCCTACCTCTTTTCTATATTCTATTGTTGTACATTTTTCTTAACCTTTTTTATTTCCATCTTATTTTGTTTTATGCAAAACCTTTTTCCCCCTTCAGAAACCTTTTTCCCCTTCATTTAAATGAGCTTTGCCCCCCTTCCTAATTTCCCAAGTGCTTTAGCTGACAGTGAAATTTCCTGGATTGTCTGTCTGTAAGAGATTTCTGTATGTAAGTTAGAGGTTGTTCACCTTTAGGGAGCTGATTTTTGTTGGTTCTTTTTTTTTTATATAATATATTTTTTATTGATTAAGATATTACATATGTGTCCTTGTCCCCACATTACCCTCTACCCCCCCCCCCCCCCCCGCTCATGCCCTCACCCCCCCGTTGTCCGTGTCCATTGGTTAGGCCTATATGCTTGCATATAAGTCCTTTGGTTGATCTTTCCCCTTTAACCCCACCCTCCCCTACCTTCCCTCCAAGGCCCGACAGTCCAATCAATGCCTCTCCGTCTCTGGATCAGTCCTTGTTCATCAGTTTATGTTGTTCATTATATTCCACAAATGAGTGAGATCCTGTGGTATTTATCCGCTCTCCAGTTCCATCCATGCTGTGGCAAATGGTAAGAGTTCCTTTTTCTTCTTCCTCTTCTTAAAGAATACCTTTCAGCATTTCATATAATGCTGGTTTGGTGGTGATGAACTCCTTTAGCTTTTTCTTATCCGTGAAGCTCTTTATCTGACCTTCTATTCTGAATGATAGCTTTGCTGGATAAAGTAATCTTGGTTGCAGGTTCTTGCTATTCATCACTTTGAATATTTCTTGCCAGTCTCTTCTGGCCTGCATGGTTTCTGTTGAGAAATCAGCTGACAGTCGTATGGGTACTCCCTTGTAGGTAACTGACTGTCTTTCTCTTGCTGCTTTTAAGATTCTCTCTTTATCTTTTGCTCTTGGCATTTTAATTATGATGTGTCTTGGCGTGGTCCTCTTTGGATTCCTTTTGTTTGGGGTTCTCTGCGCTTCCTGGACTTGTAAGTCTATTTCTTTCACCAGGTGGGGAAGTTTTCTGTCATTATTTCTTCAAAAAGGTTTTCAATATCTTGCCCTCTCTCTCCTTCTGGTACCCCTATAATTCTGATGTTGGTACGCTTGAAGTTGTCCCAGAGGTTCCTTACACTATCTTCATATTTTTGGAATCTCTTTTCTTTTTTCTTTTTCGGTTGGGTTTTTTTTGTTTCTTTGTATTTCAAATCTTTGACTTGATTCTTGGGATCCTCTTGTCTGCTGCTGGATCTCTGTAAATTATTCTTTATTTCAGTCAGTGTATGCTTAATTTCTAGTTGGTCCTTTTTCATGTCCTCCATAGTCTCACTATACTTATTGAGGGATTCATTAAATTTATCGGCGGTTTCCATAAAATTCTTGAAAAACCTTATAAACGTGGCCTTGAACTCTATATCCAATCGTTTGCTTTCCTCCATTTCTGCCATTTGTGACCTGTTTCTTTGTCTCCGCATTTTGGCAGCTTCCCTGTGTTGATAGAGTGGCCCTGCGCGCCAGGTGTCCTGTAGGGCCCAGTAGCTCAGCCTCCCCAGTTACCTGGGGTGGACACTCTTGGTGCACTGTTGGTGCCTTGGTTGTTGTAGGATCACTGGGAGGAATTGACCTCCAGGCCAATTGGCTGTGAGAATCAGCTGTGTCTGAAGTGGGAGAACTTCTGTGCTGAAGACACCCTTCTGGGGCAAGACTTGCTTCAGTGGGGCTTTGGTGCTCACTGAGTCTGCTCCCTGAGTGTGTCCCTTATGGATCTGAGGAGTTGCAGTCTGGATGGTCCCCCTCTGACCACTGGGTACAGTGGCTCCTGGATCTAAGGAGGTGCTAATTCAGCCTCTGCCTGAGGCCACACAGCAGGAGCCACGAAGAGGCTCAGCTGTGAAGCAATGCAAGCCGCTGCGGGGCCTTGGGCCTTCTCTTGGAAGTTCCGGGTCTGCCTGGCTCGGCTGCAGTTAGGTACACTCACATGCAAAAGCCTCTGCCGCAGCCTGGGTGGGGTGGGGTCTCAGGGAGTCAAAGGGCGGAGAAAGCAGCTATGGCCAATTCTCCGCCCGGAGTCGCGCGTCTCAGTGTCCCGGTAGCGGCTGCAAGCACCTCTGAGGGAAAGCCGCACTCAAGTTCGCCCGCTGCCCGAGAGTCCAGCTTCTCCCCGTATGAGTCCTGGGTCCCCAGAGACTTCCCAGAACCGGAGTTCAGAGCAGTCGGGAGCTTGTGATTCAAAAAGACAGCTGCGTCCTCAGGTGCCACCCCCTTCCCGCCTGCACGCGCGAGCCGCCGTACCTCTGCACTTCACCTCCGCAGCGCCTCTGGCTCTCAGCGTGCTTTTCTTTCCTTCTAGTTGTAGAATTTACACTCAGCCAGCCTTCCTGTTGTTCTGGGTGATGTCCACTCTGCCCTTTGCGGTATTTTTCAATTGTTGTGGGAGCGGCAATTTCCCGGTGTTTATCTATGCCGCCATCTTAGTTTCTCCCTGTTGGTTCTTTTTGAGGTTTGCACTCCCAGCCCTTCTCATCATTTTTTATTCTTCTTCTCTTTACTTCTACACTCAGCCCTCAGTGTGATCTCATTTGCAGTTATTTTGTAGAACACAGATCTGTTTATTTCATATTATTTATAGGAGGTAAAGAAGGAGAGATGTATTTTCATACTCATGTTGATAGTGGAAGTCTCTTGTTTATTTTATGCCAACATAATTATTTCATAAAGGCAGTGATGAAATTTACTTTAAATCACAGCACTTAGTCTAACTAGCATGCTAAAAATCTAAGTTGTAAGATGTAGAAACATGTTATAATGTTTATGCTTAAGTGTATATTCTAGCTTTTAATTTACTGTTTAGTTTGTTTTCTTTAAGGATTTGATATTTATTCAACAGCATATGTTACTGTTTGCATACTATGTGCTAGGCTTTATTCTTAGCATTTGGGTTTACAGCTATGACCATAGAAGAACCATAGCCTTGGCCTTATGGAGTAGAATCCATGTGTGTATGTGAGTGTGAATGTGGATGTATATGCATGTGTGTGCAGTGGGGGGAAATACAGACAATACATAAAAACAAATAAACACGTACTCTCTTTAATAGGAATATTTCCAGTAAGTGGTAATGGAAAAAATAAAATGCAATAAGCATTGCTCAGAGTCACCTAAAATGGAGTAGGGAGGCCACTGAGTAGGTGGGGCCTGTGCACATCTGGTGTCTCAGTTCTTAGAACTGTTGTTAAGTCGCTGACCTTTTGCTAAACTCAACTCAAAGTTGAACAACAAACATCCTGGATCCATGATTGCTACATGGACATCCACGGACTTTGCTTCCTCTTCATCATGGTGACCAGACCATCTGCATTCTTCACCTTGAAAGGAACAATCCATTTACACAGTGGATCTACCATTGTTTCAGTGAAAAGAGGAGTTTGCTTTCTCCTGATAACCTTTGCTAAACTCTCACAAACTCACTGAGTCTGCTCTGGGAACAGAAGGAAAACTGAGAAATCTCTCTTAGTGTGTTATTTGGAGACACTTTGTACACCCTTTGCCTCAGCCTTTCCCATCCAGCCTTTATTAGGTGAATTGCTGGAATTCAGAAGAATGAGAGAAAAAACAGACATTTCAAATGAAGGGTTTGGTCTCAAGTTCCTATGTCTGGTAGTTGTCTGGGTTAATATGTAAATAACAGTGGAGAAACCAGTGGAGTACTGTGATTTGTCTTCTTCTTCCTCTTCCTTTTCCTCTTCCTCTTCCTCCTCCCCCTCCCCCTCCCCTCCCCTCCCCCTCCCCTTCCTCCTCCTCCTCCTCCTCCTCCTCCTCCTCCTCCTTCTTCTTCTCCTTCTCCTTCTCCTTCTTCTTCCTCTTCCTCCTCCTCCTCTTCTTCCTCCTCCTCCTCTTCCTCCTCCTCCTCCTCCTCCTTCTTCTTCTTCTTCAAGATAAAATCTCCTCTATGTCTCAGACTTAGTTTAGTAATCAGGCCGAGGTGAAAAACTGATTTTCTCAATTTCCTGTCTTATAAATTGTTCTCTTCATTGTAGGAGATTACACATTTGTTCCCTGGCTTCTCAGCTTTAAAAGAGGAAGAGCCCTAGAAGAAAGAGAAAATAAAATATTAGTTAAAGAAACCGGTTACTTTTTTATATATGGTCAGGTAGGTTCCACCCTCATTCTGCTGTTGCTATATAATGCTTCCTATTTTGTGCTCATCTCTGACAAAGCTCTTTGGTTTGTTTCTCAGGTTTTATACACCGATAGCACGTTTGCCATGGGACACCTAATACAGAGGAAAAAAGTCCATGTCTTTGGGGATGAATTGAGTCTGGTGACTTTGTTCAGATGTATTCAAAACATGCCTGAAACACTACCCAATAATTCCTGTTATTCAGCTGGTAAATAATAGTTCTCTGTAAATAGACAAAAAGACATTCCTCGTTATACTGTGTGGTTTTGATTATCTTGAGTGATAAGCTGGTCTGTTTTAATTGAAGCAGATAAAATCATTACTAATAGTTTTATCATTTTTATACACATAATAAATTTAATATACATATAAAAAGGGCAGTAACTTCATAGCAATCAACACTGAGAACCATTCTAAGCTGTATCTTCTTCACACTGTAATAACAACAGTGATAATAATCTATATTAATCAAAGCATAATATAATAATTAGACTGGAGAATCTTCTGGATGAAGCCAGGGCTGTGAGGAAAGCCTGGGTCCTGGGTGCCAGAGGAAAGCCGGTACTGGCAGCCGGGGGAAGGAAGGCCTACTCTTGCATGAATTTCATGCACTGGGCCTCTAGTAGAAGAATAAGAGAATGATTACCATATGCCAGGCACCCTGGTCTGCACTTTATGGTTGTTCACTTAACCCTCCTGTTTCAGGAAGGTGGAATCTAAGACCCACGTTGTCTTAGGTTGCACAATGACCAAGTTCCAGGACTTGGTTTAAACCAGCCAGGTTGATTCCAGAGTGTGAGCTAACAGAAACTCTTCTTTACTTGCTATGGAAGGCGTTCCCCTTGGCTGATGTGAGCATCAGGTCAAGTTGCCCAGTGGCTTCTCACACTTTCATACAGGTGACATGTGGTGCAATGGATCCCAGACAGGTGACTTGGGGATGTGAAATTGTGGCAGTGAGCCTGTATTTCAACTCAGGGGCAGTAAAGATATGGAGAGAAAAGAGAAAGGGTAGGCTTTATTTATTTCAGGTCTGTTTGGGCTGTATTGACATGGCCTTTATTTTGTTTGGGGGGGGGTAATTACAAATGAATCAAGGCTGGTATTAGAAAAAAAATAATATTTATCTTAACTCATTCATTCCTCTATGGTGAGTTTGACAAATCCATTTGGAACCCCAAGGAATGTCTTCAGTTGCAGTTGCCATGCATGGCAGTAGGAAAAACAGGGTTGGAGACTGGCTGCTCAACTTGAAATGGCATATTTCAAAGGCCTTTATTAACAAATGCACAATGAATCAGAAAGAAAGGGAAATAGCATGTGATGATAGGGATGATGTCATTCTGGGTCTGCAGCCATAAACAGCTTTAACAGGGCGATGAGGAAATTTGTTACATTGGAAACCCCTAATTTTCATTTTTAAAAAAGCTTCTCTGCACCCAGCAGTGACTAGTATTTTGGTGTTGCAAAATTTTATTAAACGAGGCTATGCCAACCTGCTATTTATTTATACCCATTAGTAGTTATAGCTTTACAGAAAACTTTCAGATTTTCTAATAAGCTGCTGCTCTCATATTTACTTTCTTGACAGATTTCCTGGGTGCCTTACTTTTTAAGAATAAATATTGACCCTGAAGATATTTCTCCATGCTAATAAGCTTAGTATTAAATAAATCCATTCTATAGGAAAATTCAGGTTTGTATCTGTTCTAGGGCACATGTGTTCAAAACCATTAAAAACTATACAAAACTATGTAAATGTCCAAAATGCTTCCATAGTAACCTGAAAAAAAAGTTAAAACTGGTCCTTTTGAGGGACCCAACATAATTCCAAAGAACCTCTTTTGTACACTAAGCAGAATCTTATTCATTATTCCATTTACAAATTAAATGTGTTTATTGTAGAAAAGTTTAGATTGCTATAAGCTCAAAGAATTGAAATAGCCAATAACTTAGTGCTGGAATTTTAAATAGAATCTACCTTAAAAGTAGTCAGTTTTTGTGGATAAGTTGTGTAGATGCACACAGAAGCATTCAAATGATATGATGTTTAGAATTTGCTTCAAATTATAGATGAAACAAGATTGAGAATGGGTTAACAATCATTGAAACTAAATACTGAGTACATGGAGTTTATATTATTCTCTCTACTTTAGAAAACTTTTGACAATTTCCTACAGAAAAATAAAAAACAAAACAGGTTTTGGTAGGGGTTAATTCTCATTTTATTTAAGTGTTAATATTACTTAATGCTTTGTGATCTATAGCCTTTGCCAAAATATTATATTATCTTTAATCTCTATGATAATGACTAATAAAAAGTAATCCAAATTACTCCTTATCCCATAATCTTGCCTCTAGTCTAGAGAAAAACTATGTAATAGATGTGCTTTGTTAATGAATAGCACTTTTTATACTTTTAATGATTTATACATCTTATATGTACATTTAGAAGTAAATATAGTTGTGTATTTTTGTTTTAAATTATTATAAAAAGTTTATCATGTCAATAAAATGAAGCAAAACCATTTTTAACTATATAATATTCCATCAATGGATGTGCTATGATGCAGTTAACATTTTTTTTCTTAAACTTTAACATTTGGTTCCTGTTTAGATTCTTCATTTTATAAGCAGTAAGTGGTAAATACATTTACATCTGCTGGAACTCCTTCTGTTCATTTAATTTTCTTTAGGCTAGTAGAATAGTAACTGGTTTAGAAGTCCACTGTTGTAATTTGAAGTGTAAATGCCTACATTAACCTTTTTCCAAAACAAAATTGTTTTATTTGACATTCCTTTTTATTTTCTTCCCCATTGGACAACCACTTAAAGTTTTTGTAAACCATTCTTTTCCAGGCATTGCAAAGCTGGAAGAAGGAGATGAACTTCTACTTGCGATACCACGTGGAGATGCTAAAATTTCACAGGATGGAGATGGCACTTTTTTTGGTGCATTGAAACTTCTGTGACCTATTTACACCTTGTTTGTGGCTAATTTCCTCCCTTTAAATGTATCTCTAAGGAGAAAGCACTTAACTGGAAATACCAAAAGGGGAAAAAAAAGTAGTTACCATAGCCTTTTCTGTGAGCTATTTGTTTTGGTTTGCTGAAACTAGACCGGACAGGAAATTTAACAGACAACCACAGCCAAAGGGTGTCATGTGAATTACAAGAAGTAGAGCTCATTTAAGGAAAGATAGAATTAGAAAGACTTTTTCACCATAATGCCATGTCAAACAATTTAGTCATAGCTTCTTGTCTTAGAGGAAGCTCAGGGTTCAAAAGAGCCGTAATGATTTGTTCAAAAACAGTATTCCATTTTTCACTATGAAACAAGTGCCCATTTCCATAGGACAGTAAGACATTAGGGGAAAATCTCAGAATTCATCCTCTCTGTTTATGCAAAATACACCCCTCTCCTTTTCAGTTAACATTGGAGAAAGTAAAAAGAAAAAATATATAGAAATTTTGCATTTCCTACATGTAAAAGTAATTAAAGCCTAAATTTAAACATCATATTAAACAATTGAAGATATATTACTATTTAAGTCCTTTTTGGTTTATTTCAAGTTTGCAATTTTTCTCTCTGATGTTATATATTACCCAATGGAACACTCCCCAACAGGTTTCATAGAAGGAGAATAACTCATGTGTCTGCACATATGTGTGTTGTTTGTAGCTAATATTCAGAAACTTAATGTAGGGTAATTTTAATTCATGCATATAACCATTAATTGAAAAAAATACTATAATTGTTCTTATATAAAAACAAAACCTTCACTAGAAATTAATGAATACATTTGTAATAATGTAATATAAATTTTCTTTATTTCCTTTTCTGTTTTAAACTACTGTTCACATGTCCCAACCTTCAAAAACAGTCATGTTATTAGCTTTACTGAAGGTGAGGTTTAATTCAATTTCTTGGCATCCTGAATTATGCTATATGCTGTTTATAAAGTTACCATATGCCAGAAGATACCACCTAATTTTCATTTTATAAAGAACCACATTTGAGAATGCTATAATACTGACATTTATTACATCTATTTTCCCTTTGTTTTGCTTGCTGTTGTTTTTTAAATGTCATCAATTTAAAGAGCTTTCACTTCATTAAACAGTTTCTTTCATTAGTTTAATCAGTAGCTGGAAGAATAGACCCTGCTCAGCACTAAATTTTCCCCAGTCTGTATGAAAACAATTTTAAAGGTACAATTTTCAAAACAAAAGGAATGATTTGTATTTTTGTATATAAACTTAACCTTTGTTAAAATATAATTTTGACTTTTTTGGTTAAAACAAAATCTATTTTGCAATTATTTTGTTTTACAATATAATCATTAAAAGGAAGGGGTAGGTAGGGTAAGAGTTTCGATACCAGGAGGTGGTTAGGAATTTTCCTAGTGTTGCTGCTAACTTGGATTGCCAAATAAAAACTCTCCGAGTCTTTTGCCTCATTTTTTATTGAGTTTGTCTAACACCACTCCTCTTTTAGTTTCTTTCCATTTAACTACTAAATGCCACTTTAAAAATTAGGTACATACTTGTAAAACATTAGAAAGTCACATGTGTTAGGGCATGACAATAAGGTATTTGAAATCAAGAATATTTTATATATTTCAAAAAGGATTTGTAGCCCTAGCTGGTTTGGCTCAGTGTATAGAGTGTTGGCCTGTGGACTGAAGGGTCCCAGGTTTGATTCCGGTCAAGGGCATGTACCTTGGTTGCAGGCATATCCCCAGTAGGAGGTGTGCAGGAGGCAGCTGATTGATGTTTCTCTCTCATCGATGTTTCTAACTATCCCTCTCCCTTCCTCTCTGTAAAAAAATCAATAAAATATATTTAAATTTAAAAAAGGATTTGTACACATTAGTATTATATAAAGAAAGGATATAAATTACATATTTCTTGGAGAATAAGTTCGAAAAGATAAATCCTGCACTATAATAAGCTTGCACATTAAGCTATTAAAATCTGCAGTTTGCACCATTATTCTTTATAAATGACCTAGCATATTTTGTCAGCAGGTGTAGAATTCAGCCACATAAAATATTCTTAAATCTTATATTACTTTCAGTTTAAACCATTGTTAAAATGTGAACCCTATCTTCCTCATATATGAAATGTGAGAAATATTAGACTTTGGTTAAATGAAAGTTTATTTAGATATCAGGAAATAGAATTAAGGTGTGTATGGGGCTCCCACTGCAGCAGCAGCTGCCCGAGTTCCCACTGCTCTACCCTTCCCCCAACTGATTTTAGGGAAAAAAAAGATGTTATACTAGGATTACCTACAACAGAACATTTCTAAGGTTTAAGTGTATGGATCCAGTCCAGACACTCGTGTCCAAATCTGAAATCAGGAGTGTGATGAATAACTACTTGAGGGTATTAAATTGTTCACTTGTGTGGGAACTAAGCCAGTTAGCACAGAGCCCAGAGGGAAATCATGTGTAGCCCTCAGTGGCCTCTGGAGAAATCAGCTCCACTCTCAGTCATCGTGTAAGAGACGGTCCTCCCAGTGTGGTTTGTTATGGATGCGGCAATTTATTGATCAAATTTCATAAATTCTTTTGTAATTTGAATTATGAATTATAAAATAGTGCCTGTTATCTGTCTGGCCCTATGCTAAGAACCTGGGAGTTATAAAATATTGCTTACTCCAGATTAACTGCATGCACATTCACTTTGTAAAATTAATCTTGTAAGTTTGTATAAATTTGATTTACCTCCTCCCCCCCCCCCTTTGAGGATATTTGTCACAGCATGATTTTAAGAGTAGCCCCTCACACCCTAACAAAAAAAGAAACAACTTCAATAAGTGTCTGGCTGTGTAGATTAAGGTATGCCTACATAATGGGATGCTATGCAGCCATTAAAATTATGTCCTAGAACTCTATTCCAAGTCCTGGAAGATGATCAAGAGAGTCAAGTGGAAAAGCAGGTTATAACAGCATGTAGAGTATGATCCCGTTTTTGGCAAAACAAAAAATATCAGCATAAAAATAAAGGACAAAAGAAAAGCAAACACGAAAGCAATGGCGATTGTCTTTGAGTGCAGGGGCTTATCTTAGAACGGTAGAATAGTTTTAATTTCCTTTCTCTGCCTTCTCTGAGTGTTCTACAATAAGTATGCGCTGTTTTAATGATGAAACACTTCTCACTTCTTGAACTGTTACTAGAAGGAGAGTTTCACCACAGGATATGTCTTTATTAGCAGACTCTCATTAATTGGGTAGGTGGGATCTCTCTCCCTTTTAAAATTTATTTATTTATTTATTTTTTTACAATAACTAAGATTTGGAAATAGCCCAAGTGCCCATCATTAGATGAATGGATAAAAAAGCTTTGGTACATTTACACAATGGAATACTATGTACCTGTGAAAAAGAAGGATCTCTTACTCTTTGGGACATCATGGATGGACCTGGAGACTATTATGCTAAGTGAAATAAGCCAATCAGAGAAAGACAAATATCACATGATCTCACTTATTTGTGGAATCTAATGAACAAAATGAATTGACCAACAAAATAAAACCTGAAGCATGGCATGGCACCAACTGACATACCTCAGTGTGGGGGTGGGGGGTGAGAAGACATAAACCAAAGAAGTTATATACCCATATGCATAGCCCATGGATACGGGCAATAGGGTGGTGAAGGCCTGGGGAATGGGGATAGAGGCTGGGTGGAGGGGGATCAAGTGGTGAAAACGAGGGACAGCTGTAATACCATCAACAATAAAAAAATATCCTATATAATAAAGAGGTAATATGCAAATTGACTATCACACCTTCACACAAGATGGCTGTCCCCATGTGGTCAAAGATGGCCACACCTATGTGGTCACAAGATGGCCACCACAAGATGGCCAGCAGGGGAGAACAGTTGGGAGTGACTGGACCTGCAGTGGAGGGAGGGCAGTTGGGGGGGACCAGGCCTGCAGGGGAGGGCAGTTGGAGGTTACCGGGCTGGCAGGGGAGGGCAGTTGGGGGCAATCGGGCCAGCAGGGGAGCAGTTAGGCATCAATCAGGCTGGCAGGGAAGTGGTTAGGGGGTGATCAGGCAGGCAGGCAGGCAGGTGAGCAGTTGGGAGCCAGCAGTCCTGGATTGTGAGAGGGATGTCCGACTGCCAATTTAGACACCCCGCACCCCAGTGCATGAATTTTGTGCACCAGGCCTCTAGTATATAAAATAAATTTGATTAAGTTTTACAAATTAATTATGATTAGAAAGGGAATCTAAGATCTCTAGCCTTGCTCACGTCGGAGTAGCTTCTCCGTGTTACTCTTTTTTGGGCCATGCACAGGAATGAAGGGCTGGCATGGGGCAGTCAGCACCTCCAAACACGGGCTATTCCTGCAAAGCCATGTCCAGACCATCAGAAGAGAGGGCAATTTTCTTTTAAGCTTGGTTTGAGGTTGTCTTTGATTTTCTCATCTTCACCATTGGCATTATCCAAGTTACTAAGCCTTTTGTTATTTAAAAAATAATTTAATGACATTGTGTTTAAGATCACTTTAAAAATAAAGATAAAATAAAATTATAGAAATATTTAATAATACAGTACAAGGAAAGATTTGTTACTTATTTAGATTTATTTCACAATCTTATGGCCCTTACCGATACTTTGAATGATATATTTAGAATATGCGATACTTTTTTCTCTACAATTTTGGGCATTTGTTTTGTTTTAGTTTTATCTTGTATGTTTTTGTAGGTCCTACTGCAACTGTGCACTGTATTTAAAACCAATCACAAAGATAGGAACCAATGTGCTGAGATTGGGTGAGTAGCTCTGTGTGATGAAGAAATGTTTGAGATGGTGTTATGACACTGAACTGTCAATTTGGATCACCCAGTGGCTGATTACTTTGTCATTTTCAAGGACTAAACAAATGAGGTCAACAGTACAGAAACAGTGATATATCTGGTATGCAGCAGTGCAAGTTGATTAATTTCTTTGTTTAACATTTCCAGCTACACAAAAGTAGCATTTTTTCACAAATAAATGAATAAAATAATGAAATCCATTTTAGACCATTTAGAGGAAAACATTGGTTGTATCATTGTTTTTGATGGGGTGCTCTCTGTGTCCCCACCTATTGCTGGTGGAAGTGGGCTTCTTGGGGTGTCATGGGAATAAATATTTCCTGAGGCCCCCATGGGAGAATGAGGTGCTGTGGAAAGTTTTCTTTCTGTGGAATTAAGTCCCTTAGTTTGCAAGGTCCTGTCTCCGTCCATGCTGCCATGGAAAAAGACCCATCTTGTCTTCAGCAGAGCTAGGATCAAAGCCATTGCCCAGAGTTCTTGTTCCATATGTTCCCAGCTGCAGTCCGCATGACCATGGGCCATATGACTTCTGGGGTTACATGGCTATGGAGGCACACAACAAGTGCAGGTCACGGAGCAAAGAGAAACTGGAGTGCAAGTGGCAAGAGAGAGAATTCATTGTTTGGGGGATTTTAAGTGGGAGCTTATCCAAGAAATCCTTCAGGATTTCACATGCTTGCAGTGACTCCATCCCTGTGGCTAATTATCTTTTTCTCAGGTTAGACTGACAGGCAAATACCTTCCCTATCTCACTCCACTTCTCTGGGCATGTGCCCATCACCCCCTTTGTTAGATCCCTTCCCCAGTGATTGGCAGCGAATGGACGGATGGTTCCCTGTGGAGCATGAAGTTGCAGCTTCCTGGTGAAGCTGCCCTGATGACCATGCTTATAATGTCTGGCCTCCCCTTTGCTCCTTTCCTATTTTTAATATTAGCTAGCTAGTTATGATGGTAGGTAGCAACATTACCTTTAGGCTTGTATTGATAGTGGTAGATATATTTTATGAGAATGTTTTTATAAAAATAATGCTATTGTGTGTGTGTTTTAGAAGAGTAGTAAAAACCAATAGCAGGCCAAATATTCTCCCCTGGAGCTGACTATGAAGTGGCAAAATTCCATCTGGAAAAGGTTCTGTGATGACCATGATGTGACCACTGAGTGCAAGCTCACTGTCAGCAACCTCCTGACCCCACACCGAGGCCCTGACCCCACTCTCTGGATATCAGAGGCCAAAAAAGAGATTCAACTTGTTTACTGGCATCATTCAAAATTAGATGATGGTGACGAATGGACAAATAACAGGAAAAAATCGGTACGAAAGAAAGGAGGGAATTCTTTACCATTGAAGTGACTGATTCACTCTGCTTTACATGTTTTTGAATTTCTGAGGTTTCATATTGAAATAATTTAAAGCTTATAAAAATATAGAGAAGAAGGAGTACAAGGACATCTCTTATACCCTTTACTTTTATTCCCCATATGTTAGCATTTTACAGAACTAAAATCAAAATTAGGACAGTACCTTTGATACAACGTGGTCTTGCATGTGAATAATTGCCCATCACCCCTCTCCTTGATAGCCATTATAGCCACACACACACACACACACACACACACACACACTATTAGAAAGGAGTATTTGGAGACAAAACTGACCTCTTGGATATGCCATCTAAGCAACAGCACAAGGCGCCACACACTTTCTGGAAGGCCCTATTTTTAGTTTAATTCTCCGCTATTGCCATTGCAAAGTTCATAATATTTTTCCAACAAGGGGCCCTGCATTTTTATTTTGCACTGGGCCGCACAAATTATGAGGTGTCCCTGCTTGAAGATATTAGAGGGAAGACATGGAGAATGGTAGTTAA